TTACACATAAGCCGGCCTCAATTACCATGAGGCAGAAAAGGTGTTTGCAAGATATCCTGGTAGTCCGATCTGATGAATATATTGAAAATCCATATTGTTGGTCACATATATCTAGAGGACAATCTGACTGGTGATTGTGGTGATTTAAATTTGGAGATTTTCCAAAGCATCATTCAACTACGAATTCAATAGATTGTGGCTAATAATCAAGATGGATTCGAAAACCCAGTTGTTGTCCAAGAAGATGGTGTATTCCCATTTTTTTCATCAAATGATCTTTCTACTTGGTAGGTACCCACTAGCTCTTCTACATTCCTGGTGGCAGTTCTGGACTATCGTAAGGAAGGTTATGAACAAAGTAGCAGAGGTTATGAACATGTCAAAAGAACGTGTTTGTCACATACTGAATCAACATTTGGGCATGAGAGAGGTGTCCGGCATTGAGTGCCGCGTTTGCCCTCCTTAGAAGAAAACCGTGTTCGAATGAACATTTCTGCGCAGTTGAGGCGCAACAAATCCGAGTTTTGACGCCGATTAATTACTGTAGATAAAACTTGGATACACCATTATATATTCGATACAAAAATACAGTCCAAAAATACAGAACCGGCTCCAAAAAAGCAAAAACTGTTTTTTTGGCTGGGAAAGTGATGGCGACTGTTGTTTGGGATAGTCATGGAGTTATTTTAATCGGTTATCTTCGAAAAGGAAAAACCATTACAGGAGCATACTACGCATCATAACTTGACAAGCTGAACGCAGAATTTGCGGAATATAACGCACCGTCTCACACCTCAGCGGTTGTCATGTCAAAAATCAACGAATTACGGTTTGAACTGCTTGACCATCCGCTTTACCCGATTCTTCTAGATCTAACTTCTTTCCACATTTTTCTGGAGAGAGAGGCTAGATGGACTGCATATAGTCTTGTGCACATTGCCACTTGCACAAATCAATTTAATAAAGAGTGCAACATACTGTTGGTTGACACTGGAAGGCACAGCATTCTGGAAATGACCTCTGACTTTATGCCTCCAGTACGAACTGGACCTCTGACTTTATGCCTCCAGTACGAACTGCCTCATAAAGTACTGTTCACGAGTAGAGAGAGCTGGATCTTCCGGAAGAAGGAAATATTAAGAGCAGATAGTTGTTGGTGCAGGTGTTTTCAGTCGCAGACCCAGAACAGATATATCAACCTGCCCAGGAACCTATGCGACAAATCCGAGTTTTGACGCCGATTAATTACTGTAGATGAAACTTGGATACACCATTATATATTCGATACAAAAATACAGTCCAAAAATACAGAACCGGCTCCAAAAAAAAAGCAAAAACTGTTTTTTTGGCTGGGAAAGTGATGGCGACTGTTTTTTGAGGTACTCATGGAGTTATTTTAATCGGTTATCTTCAAGAAGGAAAAACCATTACGGGAGCATACTACGCATCATTACTTGACAAGCTGAACGCAGAATTTGCGGAATATAACGCACCGTCACACACCTCAGCGGTTGTCATGTCAGAAATCAACGAATTACGGTTTGAACTGCTTGACCATCCACTTTACTCACCAGATTCTTCTAGATCTAACTTCTCTCCACATTTTTCTAGAGATAGAGGCTAGATGGACTGCATATAGTCTTGTGTACATTGCCACTTGCACAAATCAATTTAATACAGAGTGCAACAGACTGTTGGTTGACACTGGAAGTCACAGCATTCTGGAAATGACATCTGACTTTATGCCTCATAAAGTACTGTTCCCGAGTAGAGAGGACTGGATCCTCTGGTAGAAGGTAATAATAAGAGCAGATGGTTGTTGGTGCAGGTGTTTTCAGTTGCAGACCCAGAACAGATATATCAACCTGCCTAGGAACCTATGCGACTGTATTTCAAGCGGAAATTCACGCAATTTTATTGTGTACGGAGAGATTGGAAGAACCCAACCTCATACACAAGTCAATAAAATATTCTCGGCTCTCCTCGATAGAAAGACTTAACAGATTGTCTCTGGAATGTATTCCTGGCCATGCTGGCCTGGAAGGCAATGAGGCTGCTGACTCACTTGCTAAGGAGGGCGCTGCAAGCAGCTTCATCGCACCAGAACCTGCCATTGGCATCGCTTTAGGCTTTGCCAAACAAATATTGAACACCTGGATGGAAAGAAGATGTATGGACTTCTGGCAGAATCTTCCAGAATTGGCTCACTAAAAGGCGTTTATTAACCCATCGAAGCTTGATACCAAACAGTTTTTGGACTATAGTAGGGATGAACTACGATGTCTAACAGGCCTTCTTACAGGTCACTGTCATTTGAATCATCATATGCAGAGACTCGGACTGTCGGAATGCAGTGTGTGCCGCCTTTGTTTGGAAAATGATGAAACAGCACAGCACATACTTTGTGCCTGCCCCGCTGGGGACCGAAGTAGTTCAGCAGAGCCGTACTCTTACCATCTAACCTAATCTACTTACCAGATCTAGCCCCAAGCGACTTCTTTTTATCCCTTCTCTAAGAATTGCGCTCAGAGCACAGTCATTTTCGTCAAATGAAAAAGCAATCACCTTCCTGAACAATTATTTTGCAGAGAAAAACGCCGAGTACTATTTGGACGGGTTCCAGAGATGGGAGCATCGCTGGAAGAAATCTATAGAGTTAGGAGCAGACTATGCTGAGAAATAAATTAAAAAAAAACTGAAAAAATGTCTTGTATCTTTGATGGGTCGGAAACTTTACAGGTCACCCTCGTATGTTTGTGTCTATATTAGATCAAAACAGGGCTGTATAATTGAATCATGGATGTAATATTTCGGGTTCGAATATTATATAATTGACTGGTTTCAGCGCAAATATTTAGATGATGACATTTAGCGTTGTTTATGTCTCTCAAACTCAATAATCATAAAATGTGTCCATGTTGTGTTCAAAAACAATCCAGATTTGTGCGATTTGTGCTCTTTTATCCTCTGTTCTATAGATTATCCATTGTGAACATTATAATGTTCAGCTATTTATTGTAGTTTAAAAAGAACTTGGTAGAATTTCTTAAATATATCGCTGTATTCTCCAAAAGGGGGATTTTTCAATCTAACCTCAATAAATCACATAAACGATAAAGCCATGATCAATACTGTGATTCAATAAAGATTGCTGAATGAATTAACTTCAAAACAACTCGAAATCTGCATAATTACTCTCCGAAGTCTTAGACTTAAGAAGGTGAAGGTCGTCGCGAAACAAGGTCTGCGTATGGTCGAATTTGTTCATGCCTACCCTGAAATTGTCAGTAAAGGTTACATGAGCATCTAGTTTCGAAAGCAGATAGGTCATAATATTGTTGATATTGATAAATATGTTTTTTTCCATAATGAATATTCTATTTCGAGTGCTGCAAATTGTCCTTAACATTTCGATACCTTTAAGATTCGTTAAGAAATATTTTTGTCAATGAAGGTACTTGAACATGAAGTTTGTTTAACTTTTTGAAATTTGATCGTTATATTTTGAAGAAAATTCCGGATACCAATACCATTTTCAAAATATTGAATTTTCAGTCTGAATTTGGAAATGAATATCTTGAATTTGTTGTGTTATAAAAACAATAACTTCACCTTAGACCAGGGGTCTCTAAACTACGATCCGCGGGCCAAATCCGGCCCGCCAGTGTCATCAATCCGGCCCGCGACAGCCAATGATTTACTGTCATCAATCTGGCCCGCGACAGCCCATGATTACCTAATTATTGTTACTATTGCTGTGATAAGTTGAAGAAGAAAAGGCAGAATGATAATTACTCGGTTTTATTTACTTGCAAGGTGAAACTTAACGACAGAAATGATGACAAAGAAAACTTAACTGAAGTATCTAAGTTTAAGCATGTTAATAACTAACAAATAATTGAAATGAATCACAGTAAAACAAAAACACTAATGAGATTTATGTAATTGTGATTTTCCACCGACAATACTTCGTAGTTGTGGATCAATTTTACTTGTACCAATTTTATCAAAAGAGATTTAAGATTCTCATCGGTTAATTGAGATCTGTAAACATTCTTTGTGTACTTCATCTTGGAAAACGTTTTCTCACATAAGTAAGTAGTACCAAAAACAGAAAACAACCCACGAGCAAATTTATGCAAGTTATCAAATTGTTCCAGTGGAAGACTCTTATAAAATTCCAACAAAGATGAATTTTGATATTTGTTCTTAAGGATATCACTGCACCGTAAATCAATAATTTCTATTTGGACTTCTGAAGCCAGGGTTTCAATGTCAAAATCAAAAGGATTTTGAAAAAGCTTAATTTCATTCGCAATGACCACAAAATCTGAAAAACGAGTATCAAAATTTATCTTCAAAGCACTCAAAGTTTCGATTGCAAAATTGACGGGAAATTCAGTCTCTGTAGTGTGGCTGAATATTTCACATGTTTCAAAATGTGTGAAACATTTTTTACNCTAGAACCAACGCGGTAATTCCAAATATATAATTTCGCCTAATGCCACCTAGCGGGTAGTTGAAAAAGATATTACATAGTACTACTAGTCGCCACTAGATGTCGTTAAGTGTCACATTACACAATAATAATTGAAATGGAAAAAAAGCGTAACTTTACTTAGGTCACGCACTTTGCGACTATCCTCGTCTAGAAATATAGTTAAGGGCAGAAATTGGCTCTTGGAACAAACTGAAAAAAACAATATGGCCGGAAGGTTTCAAAGTTTGGCGACCCCTGCCTTTGACCATCAACAAAATGAAAAATTACTCATGAAAAAAGAAGTTTCCTTGAAAAACAGTTAAAAAATTCATTGTTATTTTAATTAAAAATAATAGCTGTGAACAGCTGATACGACACTATGATAGAAAATATATCAGGACAGCGGCAAATTATTCGAATTTATTGCTGTTCAATATGAATATTTCCGTCAACTGAATCTTCATAATTTAACATATTTTTTACATCATTTTACATTTTCCATATTTTTTTGTTTCAGGCAGGCGAGCGAAATCTTCTCTAAAATGTCGGAAGAAGGGAGTCCAGTAACCGAATGGTACAAGGGGAGATCGATTTTCATAACGGGTGGAAGCGGGTTCATGGGCAAAGTTATGGTGGAGAAGTTGCTTTACTCTTGTCCTGGCATCAAAAATATTTATCTTTTGCTTCGGAATAAACGGGGCAAATCGTCTCAACAACGATTGGATGCCATGTATCAGTTGCCGGTGAGTATGACATATTATGTGGGGTCAGGCAATAATCACATAAAAGAAAATCTGATTCATTTAAAACATAATTCTGTGGGGAGATGACTATTCGAGAAATCCTATGAATCTAATCTAATAAAAACACTTTTCCCACATCAGAACTGAAACACTGCTCTCGACGCGCGTTTCGCCAACAAAATTAGTATGACTGAAACTAGATGAACTAGTGATTGGAAAGAGGCAAAACCCGTCAGCAAATAGGCCATTTTGTTTGTTGGATGCCGAAGGAAAACTTCTTGAGCATTCTCAAGAGACTCAAGAAGGAAATTACACAACATGGTGGTTTACCGGAGCGTCACTTTGGACTCGTAGAGGAAAAACAAACTGTGGGTACTTTAGAATATGTGTTGAAGCTCGCAAGGGAGGCAGGAGAATCATTCTCCTGGTCACACCGGAGATTATGCGTGATAATAACGCAAGTCATTAGAGATGTATTCAACAAAGCAAGTCGGCAGGAAATCCTGTTGAATTTGAGGAGACGTTAACGAGAGCCTCTTCAGTCTATTTAGGTCATATTTGTCAGAGAGAAACATCATCATGGTTAGGTCAGGTCCAAAGTGGGTGGATCTATTCAACCCTTGCGGGTTGCGGTGGCTCTGCCGAACTCTAAGAACCTAATTCGGTCGCCAGCGGGGCAGGCACGAAGTATGTGCTCTGCTGTTTTATAAATTTCCTAATAGAGGCGACACACACTGTCTTCCGACAGTCTGGGTCTCTGCATATGATGATTCAAATGACAGTGACCTGTAAGAAGGCATGTTAGACATCGTAGTTCATCCTCACTGTAATCCAACTACTGTTTGGTATCAAGCTTCGAAGGGTGAATAAACGCCTTGGAGTGAGCCAATCCTGGAACATTCTGCCAGAAGTCCTTAAATCTTCTTGCCATCCAGGTGTTCAATCTTTGTTTGGCAAAGCCTAAAGCGATGCCAATGACAGGTTCTGGTCCAATTAAGCTGCTTGCAGCACCCTCCTTTGCAAGGGAATCAGCAGCCTCATTGCCTTTCAGGCCAGTATGGCCAGGAATCCAGACCAGAGATAATTTGTTGAGTTTTCTTATCGAGGAGAGTCGTTTTTGGTAATTTGCTACCAATTTAGACGTTGCTCGGTAAGAGCCAAGAGCTTCCAATGCCGCTTGAATGTCCGAGAATATTTTTATTGACTTGTGTATGGGGTTTGGATTCTTCCAGTCTCTCCGCACACATTTTCCGCTTGAAATACAGTCTCATAGGTTGCTAGACAGGTTGATGTCTCTGTCCTGAGTCTGCGACTGAAAACACCTGCACCAGAACCGGAAGGTGTTTTTGATCCATTTGTGAACCAACAACTATTTGCTCCTGATATTTCCTTCTCCCGGAGAATCCATCATGGAGGCAGATAATACTGTGAAAACAAAATAAATCAGTAGCGGTGTACCTTAAGAATCCGTTCTAGGACCAATGCTCTGGAACATTTCATATGACGGTCTTCTGAGACTGAAACAACAAAATGGTGTCACACTGATTGGATTCGCTGACGACATTGCTATGGTCGTGATAACCAAAGGCGAAGAGAGTCTAATGACCACTACAAATACTGCACTTCAGAGGGTATTAAACTGGTTAGAAACAAAGGACTTGAACTGGACCCAGAGAAAACAGAAACGGCCTTCCTAACAACGGAAAGAAAGAAATTTGATGTACAAGGAGTTGCGGTGCTTCCAAAAAAAGCAGTAAAATACCTAGGAATCTGGTTAGATACCAACCTTTGCTGAATACATCAAAAGAGTTTCGGAAAAAGTGGACTAAACAGTGACGGCATTGTCCTCCCTCATGCCAAATATAGGAGGAGATAGAATAGTTCAATATCCAAAAGAAGAGCACCATTATTGAGTGTAGCCCAATCTCAAATATGGTATGCCGCACCAGCCTGGCACATGGTGACTGGTAACGAAAGAATTGTGTTGGAGCTTGCTAACATTCAGCGCAATCTCTGTATTGGGGTGTGCTCCGCCTAGAGAGCAATATCTAAAGAGGCAGTATGGGATATAGCTGGAATACCTCATATAGAACTTCTCATTGAAAAAAGGTGGGACAAATATACAAGTAGTGGAAGAATAACCGCAAGAAACAACCTCATGTTATGTTGACACCAAACATAAATAAGTGGGCACGTAGACCATACGGTGAAGTGGACAGTTTCGTAACACAAGCAATTTCTGCTGCTTCAGAAATCAATTGGCTGAGGTCGGAAAGTGAGTAATGTCCATATTATGAAGAAATAAATGACACAGAGCACACACTTTTCATATGCATGAAATTCTATAGTGTTCGATAGGAATACCAATTAGAAACTGGTTCACTATTCGAAAAAACTATGGTAGGATTGATGGTATCGTGTGGAAAATGAATGGAGAAAAGTATATGGAGTGATGAGATTCATCACTGAAACGAAAGAAAGAGAAGACAGAATTAACTGAAGAACCCCCGTCATGGGATAGACAGCTGTCTCACTGAAGTAATGTGCAGGCGGTTCCAGTGAAGGGTGCGAAGTGACGGGAGGCCGGTAAAAATTCGACACACCTCTTCCACAAGGGGATGTCTGAGATTTTTCTCTCCAGCAAAGAAAGATGAATCAGATGAACCAGAAAGCACAACAACACTCAACTGTTCCAAAAAAGACAAGCCCGAAAGTAAACGTGATGGTATATCCATCTACGAAAACGTCATCTATCGAATCGACAGAATTCTCAATCCTGGAATATCAAAAATAAACGAGGCTCCCCAAAGCAGTCAGTGGCAAAAAACGAAGCTTCGACAGCGAGATTTCCTCTGCAGCTCCTGCTCCAAGACCACTGGGTGAAAACGAGAGTTCGAACACGACGCATTCATTATTCAACCCCCCACAGAGCTGTTTCGATCCGCCAAAGTCTCATCAGTGGTGTTAAGGTAAACCACCTAACTGTCCCAATAAAAACAAGCCTGAAAGTAAAAGTGATGATATCTTTCCCTTCAAAGTACCATCCATGAGATCAAACGGAAACGCAATCCTTGAATATCAAAGATAAACGAAGCTCCCCAAGGTGGTCTGTTGCAAAGCCAAGCTTCGTCATCGACCGCCGGAGGAAGATCGTCTTCTGTCTTTCACTGCACTCGAAATGAAGATGACATCTATGAGATCGACTGGAAACTCGACCCTCGAGGTGGTCAGTTGCGAAAAATAACCTCGACATCGACGAGATTTGTCCCATGTCGTTGAGTGCAGATTTTACTGCAAGGCAACTAGATGACCTTCTCCAACTCCAGACAACACCAAATGCTCATTTATGATTCAGCCTCCACCACTGGCGGGTCAAAACAGTGCTGGTTGGTGTTGAATCATAAATGCATTATGTTTGGGGTCTGGTTTTCAACTAGTGTCCTTGCAGAGCAGACTTACTCGGAGTATAATTCAGTTCAGCTTTTATATTGATTGGGCTGAGGCCTGTCAAATGAAAGTATTGTACCAATTTTCTCCATTTTCACAAATTCACCGAAAACGTTTGCTATTGATGGCTGCCAAACAAATACTAAACAACTCAGCCTCTTCAAACTTGAAACATGTGCTTTATAGATTGTGTACTTCCTAATCCGTGATATTTTTTAAACAACTACCGCCATCTCTAGGTCAGGCTGGGTACTTTTAGGACCACTCAGGCATTGCATAAATTATTGAGTATTAGCAGTCAGTTTGAAATAGTTTATGCGAGTTATAGCAAGCGAAGTAAACCAGTGAAGTTGTATTTTCAAGTCATTGAATAAAATAAGGTATCAAGTTTGCCATTTGTAAAACAATTATAGGGACCCTTCATACTCATGCCAAGAGCCAGAACACTACAGTTGATCAACAATTGCATAAGACTTATTAGAGCACATATATGACCTCTCACAATTTTTATTCGTTTTTCAGATGTTCGAGCGTTTGAGAAAATCACAACCAGATGCCTTCGCAAAGATCGTACTTGTAAATGGAGATGTTAACACGGAAGGTTTGGGTCTCAAAACTGAAGACTTCGATCTACTTATAAACAACGTGTCAGTTGTTTTCCACATGGCTGCCACATTGAAACTAGAAGCTTCTCTGAAAGATGCAATAGAGCAGAATACTGCTGGTACAGCCAGAGTAATAGACGTTTGCAAACAGATCAAGAAACTTGATTGTTTCGTCTACTTCAGTACTGCTTTCTGCTCTGCTGACGTGGAAGTTTTTGAAGAAAGGGTAAGTGAAATATAAGTGAAAATTTTGAAAAAAAATGTACTTATTTTTTAACATCATTTCCTTGCAGCTCTATACACTTATCCCAGCGACGTTAAATAATTTCGATATCTTTTTCATAATGAGAACTGTCTTCCTCCTCAAAATAGCCATTTACTGCCCACATCACTTCTTCATCGTTGGAAAATCTTTGACCACTGAGCCATTTTTTCAAGTTTGGGAACAGAAAAAATCCAAGGCGGATAAATCTGGCGAATAGGGTGAATGAGGTAGCAATTCAAACTTCAATTCGAAATAAATTTCGAAATATCCATCTTTCCCAACTACTACGTCTGTCGAAAAACAACTACTTCCCCGGTTAATACCACGCTTGATATTGAATTATATCCGACAGACATTTAAGCAAGATTTCTCACAGAGGCTAGTCTCGTTCTTCCAACAGTAGGACCATGGATTTGTGAACTGTGCATTGTCTTGATGAAACAACACTTTTTTCTTAGCAGACTGCGGTCGTTTTTGCTTGATTTCTTCACTCAAACGTTGCAATAAGTTCGCATAATACGCGCCGTTGATAGTTTTACCTTTTTTTAAGATAGTCAATGAATGTAGCGAAAGTAGCGATTCACATTGGATTTGAAGAGTTCTTGAACAGTGAAGTTCGAGGTGTACTGAGTTGAACCTCAAAAAAATGATCAGTTACAGTCCGTCGCGTATTTCTGATATGTACCGCTTTTGATGGAATCAAATTTGCTAAGTCGCTTGAACACCTTTCGTGATAGTATATATAGAAGAGAGACACATTTCCGACCTTTCTTCGATGTTCCAGTGTATTAAGGTTGCACGTGATGTTCGCGTCTCCAATCAGGCGGATTGCTTTTTTCTGGATGGAATCCAACAACTTCAGGGTATGTTTGGGGGCAGGACACCATATAAATAGAATAGAATATTTATTTAAACTATGTTATACTTATGCAAAAGTACATTTATAGCAAGCCAGTTAGATCAAAAATACATAAAGATATATTAAAAATATATTAAAAATACCTAGAAGGACATACTAGCGACATATAAAGATTGCCACGTTGAGTATATTTATGATCATTCTGATATAAAAAATGAAATAGTGATGATATTTATCAGAGCACTTTTGAGAAAACAGAGTCGAGCGATTGGGATCTGAAAGGAGTGTTCAAAGAGGCACTTCAGGATGTTGCATATATTCTTTAAACCCAACCCCTGAATAGAAGCAGTACTGCAAAAGAAATCTTCTTATCTTTTTTTGAAAGGAAATTATATTGAGTGACTTGATATCAGATGGTAATATATTATACACATGATAGTCTGGTGAATTTCTTTGGGAGTTCTGATATAATCTGATCGTCTTGTATCATAGGAATGTACTTGAAATTGTGTAAACAAATTTATTGTTTGTCTATTATCTGTATATAATAGTCTCATATCTGTATAGAGAAGGTAGCGATAAAATTTTGAGGCGAACAAATAAAGGACGACAATGTTCCTTGCTATTACAATTTAAAATTATTCTCAGGGCCTTTTTTTGGAGTCGAAAGATTTGCAGTGACTTTGAGGAGTTACCCCACATTATGATACCGTAACTCATATGAGCATGAAAAAGTGCAGAGTAGGTACTTTTCAGTGTATCATGATTAACATATCTCTTCAATTGCCGAAGTAAAAATAGCGTATTAGAAAGTTCATGTCTAAGTTGTTCAATATGACAATTCCAGCCAAGTCTGTTATAATTCAACGTTATTGTCCTCCATGAGAGAATTATTTATAGAAAATGTGATATTCTGAATTTTACTATTATTAAGTTGTAGCTTATTAGTCTGAAACCAATATTTGGCTTTTTGTTGTAACGCCAGTGATAACATCGGTAGTTGCTGATAGTCATAGTGAGAGGTAATCAGGGTAGTAGCATCAGGAAACAAAGTACAGTTTTCTGGCCACAGAAATTGGCGCAAATCATTAATGTAAATGATAAACAGTAACGGTCCAAGGACTGAACCCTGTGGGACACCATGTATGTTAGTTTTTAACTCTGACCTCTCATTTTTGACTTCAACAACTTGATAGCGATTTTTTAGGTAACCATGTATGTTAGTTTTCAACTCTGACCTCCCATTTCTGACTTCAACAACTTGATAGCGATTTTTTAGGTAAGATTCAAAAAGCTTTAGAGCAACTCCTCTCAGTCCATAATAACTCAGCTTCTGAAGAAGCATTGATGAGAGACACAGTCGAAAGCTTTCGACAAATCTCCTAGGATTACTGATGCATGATGTCCTTTGTCCATCGCCTCAACTATATCTCTCACAACACTCATCACTGCACAGTAGTCGAGTTGTTTTTTCGAAAACCAAATTGAGAATCATGGAAGTAGTTATTCATCTCAAAATAAGCTGCCAACTTCTAAATAAGGGTCGTCGGACGCACCCCTCCGAGGGGGTGCGTACTACAAAAAATCTGATCGGTCTGAAAGGTGTCCCCCTTCAATTAGAAATCGACGTGTCCGTGCTTTTTTAAAAAACTTACTTTTTATATTCAAAAACGGCTCTGTTAAGTTTTCGTTGTTACACACTGTATTTTTCGATTGCGTTATTCCAGATATGGGGGGTCGCCTGTTGATCTTTGTTTACGAAGGCCATATTGATGATCCCGCAAAATGTTGAAGCCTTCCAAATATTTGAGGATATGGTGGTTTACGACTTCCTTCATGATTTTTGATATCACTGAAAGTAAAGCAACTGGTCCATACTTATTTGGAAGCTTTTTCTTGCCCTTTTTGGGAATAGGCTAAATGTGAGCTATCTTCCAACAGAAAAGAAAAATCTATTTCTTATAAGACAGGTTGAAAAGTCTGCAAAATACTGGTGCGAGTCCAGTTGCGCACTTTTTTAGTACGATGACGGACACTTCATTAGGGCCAGACGCCTTGTTGATATTGAACTGTTTCAAAATTCGCCTGACTAGACGCTGTCGAAAAGTAATTTCTGGCATTGTGGATCCTAGTATGGTAATAATTGCGTCCCACTGCAGAAAATAGATTCTGCAGTGGGACGCAAATTGTTCAGCTAGTAGATTTGCTTTTTCTATGAATGTTGTTGCAATTGAACCATTCGCTTGTGTTAGTGGTGAAATTGTGGATTTTGTGAAGTTCTGCTTTAGCTACCGACCAGAAGGATCTAGACCTGTTGGGATTGTGAATTTCTTTGCTTTCATTAATCCTAAGTTTGCAGCTGTTGCAAGTATTAACAAACCTAGTTCGGTTTTCATCACTGGCAAGATTTTTGGAGGTGACAGCTTGCCCGCAATTTTTGTTGAACTAATGTTTGCCTTTAAGGGGGCTTTACACGCTACGATAAATCGTAACAATTGATTGAACGATTCATCGCTCCAACAAATCGAAAAAGTAGAGCACTGTTTACACGCTACGATAAATTGTTACAATTTCTTGTCAAATGTCACTTACTTGGTCTTGCAAAGTCCTGGTCGTTCAAGAAATGAAGACGGTCGAAGTACCACAAACTAGGTTTGTAGATGTCATCCGTACCAGCCCCAGATTTCTCCGAACTCTTAACTTTCAAGAGTTCTTTTTTATAAACCGTACGCAACGCGTTAATTTATTTTTACGACAGTGTTCCTATCTGCAGACGGATCAAACTCTTTGAACTTTTTAACTAGCTCAATATAAGCTAAGTCTTTGTTGTTCCTGTCGGAGTATTCTTTGCTCTTAACGAGCCACAAACAGGTTAAACTTCTATAAAGTTCTNGTACTAATGAAAACTGGAAGAAGAGGAGTGGGTATTGATTTTAAAAAAGGGATTTTATTTAACAAAAAACTGATAAGAAGAACTGCTCAATTTTTTTTTTATTTAGGCATACAAGTTACCGAGTGGTCTGTCTAATGTATTATTAACATGGCAATTTTAACTTCAAATTATCTCGAAAACTAATCGTTACAAAAATTTTCTTTTAACAGAGTTGTAAAGGTATTCGAAAGACCTTCAAAATAAGGTGCCACTCGACCTACTTTCCTTATCTAAATAAGGGTCGTCGGATGCACCCCTCCGAGGGGGTGCGTACTACAAAAAATCTGATCAGTCTGAAAGGTGTCCCCCTTCAATTAGAAATCGACGTGTCCGTGCTTTTTTAAAAAATCTTACTTTTTATATTTAAAAACGGCTCTGTTAAGTTTTCGTTGTTACACACTGTATTTTTCGATTGCGTTATTCCAGATATGGGTGACATACAGTAGAAGGTCGCCTGTTGATCTTTGTTTCCAAAGGCCATATTGATGATCCCGCAAAATGTTGAAGCCTTCCAAATATTTGAGGATATGGTGGTTTACGACTTCCTTCATGATTTTTGATATCACTGAAAGTGATATCGAGTGAAATCGTAGCGATAAATTGGTGCAACTGTTACATGATGCAACACATCGTTACGATTTCCAGAAATTGATGACGGCCTGCTTCAACCATCCACTCCAACTCCAATCCCAATAAATCGCTACAATCTCTCGTTTACACACAACGATAAATTGTAACAATCTGATCGTTACGATAAATTGCTACAATTTATCGTTGCGTGTAAAGCCCCCTTTAGAAGGTCGTTTCATTGAAAGAGGAATATATGCATCCATGGATGATAGAATAACTTCCGTGACTTCAAAAGCACAAGTTGATGGATCTTTACAGCTGAAGTAAACATCTAGCCAGGGGAAATTTCGAAAATGGTTTTGAAGATCCTTCCATTCAGCTGATCAGTAATGCCAAACTTTGCGCGGCTATATCTGAGGGGGAGTACTTTGAAGGGGACAAAATAGAAATTCATGAATAAACATTTTTTGAAAGAAATGAAAATTCTACTATACACTTAGACTGCTGAATTAATAACGCATCCTTTCGATTTACGTGTGGTTGAATAAAAAGATGGTGGTTGATGAATAACGTATCACAATGTTAGCGTATCTCCAATTCATTTGACATTCACCTATTAATAATAGAAAACCTTTTCGAAGATTGATATTTCAAATTTTTCATTGCAGTAATTTAATTGTGACATTATAAGCATCATTACTATAATTGAAGTTACACCTTTGCTTGCGCATCAAAGATCGATTAATAATGAATTATTGCAATAACACGGTCGAGGTAATTTTCACAATTACACATATAAACAGCACCTAAAAAAAGTATATAAATTGAAATGAACTTTAGGTAGTTTGTAGCTATAAATCAACAATATTTTAATGAACGTGGTGAACCTCGTTGAATATGAATGTTGCCGAGTATCAACAGGATAGTATACCGATAGCAGAGATGTACCAATGATAAACTATCCAGTGATTCAAAAAATGTTTACTGAGATTAATTTAAAATTGAGATTATCGAAAACAATAAAATATATCAATATCAATGACTACGACCTGTTCAATACAGATATAACTTTCGGATGACAACAAAATCATTGGGAACGTTATCGTCCATTGAAATCAGTATTTTTTATGAAAAAACAATTGAAAATCCATTTTTATTAAACCGGAAACAGACCCAAGTTGAGAACTAGCAAGTTTTGGACTTTTATCAAGTATCGTACAGTTTCAATCAAATAAACGAAAGTGCCTGAATTCGTGAAAATTTGCAATTTTTATTTTTGTAAAAACTAATTGAACATCATTTCATTAGTTCGGATTTCCATTGTCTAATATGATATAAATTAATTTGACGACACCTTCCTGAAGTACATCAACAACGTAAGTCTTTCTATCACTTTCACAATAGATGAAATGCACCACGAAACATTGTCAACCACCTTCAAACAAAATAATTGAACATCATTATTTCTTTTTCACTACATGAAGTTGTTCGATAATATTTCCATAGATGCTGTCAGAGTGCTGTCATTTGGAATTTAAGGAAAATGGCTCCTACGTCGCTATTTTGAAAAGAAATAATCACTCGCGTTATATCGTTGAAAAGAGAATGTTGAAGGATGTAACTCAAAATTTTCTAGAAAAATATACAGGATTTTATTTAAAATTCTCATGTTTTTTTCAGGTTGAACTGAAAAAAGTTTTCTATGGTTTCTAGAAATATTGAATCCAAGGAACTATTCGTTCGTATCCTAGAAACAACTAATTGGCGCCGTGTACGAAGATTTCGTTGTCACCCGGTATAGCTTAATACGAGGTCCTCTTGAAAATTACGATCGAGTTCGTTAATCAAAATTCTAATTTAATATTGTTGTTGTAGAAGAACCAGTAACATTCAGGAACACGAATTGAAGTTTACAAATTACAGATTGAAACGTTGTCACTCAAAAAATCGATATACGAGGTATGTTCAAAAAATAAGTTTCAAATTAGGCGTGCTGCGTAGGTAGGTAGGTCTAAAGTGAGTGGGTCTATTCGACCCTCCACCGCAACCCACAAGGGTTTATTGTGGCTCACACATATTCACACTCGGCCAAATAAACCCAGCTTCTTAACGAAGCCGATTAGTTTGTATGGTGAGTGGTCTTTCAGGTCAGATGGTGAGAGTNTTCTATACCCTTCTTAGCTAGAGACAATCCTATAAATTTAGGTAGTGCATTGTCAAATGTTCCTTCAATATCAAGAAATACAGCAACCGCAAAAGCGTGCTGTCACATTCACATTCTCAGCTGTCTGGCATGTTTAGTTTATTGGTCAGAGGCATAAAAGTTAGTAGTGTTTTGCTTGTTCGGCGATTTGTTGCTATAAAAAAATGGACCAAAGAATTTGCATCAAATTTTGTTTAAAAAATGGAATTGATGCTCAATAACACTTGAAATGTTGACAGTGGCATACAATGATTGTACTGAGTCACAAAAATGTTTACAAAAAATGGTGTAAGCTTTTCCCAGAAGGTCGAGAATCTGTGAATGACGACGCTCGCCCTGAACGCCCCAGCACATCAACAACCTATGAAAATGTTGAGAAAGTGTAGTGTATTTCGTTTCCGAAATATCTACTTCCCTGACTGTACTACATACCGCTTTGTTTTTATGTACTTCTTATGAAGGGTTTTTATAATGTCCGTTGGTTTCCTGCATTGTAAAGGCACATTATCTCCCAGTTGTTGTTCACATCCTTTTTGTAATATATATATTATAATATTATCGATTGGGGAAAGTATTTTATTTGTTACATAGTAACACCAAACCCCAGAAATAGCAGAAAGTAAAGAACATTATTATAGAGAATCGTCGAATCACTATTAGAGAAGTTGCTGAGGATGTCGGCATATCGGTTGGCTCATCCCATGCAATTGTTTCGGCAGCGAAGTTTGTTCCAAACTTGCATAATTTGGACAAAAAAACCGTCGCATGACCATCGATTAGGAATTATTGTTATTATTATTCTTATTAAATAGCACGCCAAGTTCGATCAAATGTCAAGGTTTTGGTCACTGTTTAATTCGATTACCGTGGCGAAGTGCATCAGGAGTTCTATCGACATGGTCGTAAGGTCAATAAGGAGTATTATTTTGAAGTTATACACCCATTGCGATGATAAAAGGTTCGGGATTGTAAGAAAATCATTTTGCGATACTGCACTTGCTCACTCGTCATTGCTTGTTCGTAATTTTTGGCCAAAAACAACACCGTAATCATGCCCCAGCCACCGTACTCAACAGATTTGCCTCCCTGTGACTTCTTTGTTGAACTGAATCACTGAGAGTTTATTACATCTAAAGAAGACTTCTTTGGAGGAGAGAAAATAACAGACCTTGTACAGTGAATATTCATAGACCTGACATCTGAAAGGAGGTTTTGTATCGACTGATGCTACTAAAACTAACGATAATGGCAGTATAAACATCATTTTCATTCAACGTTATCAGAGGGGTGCAAAACCCAAACCTTTTGAAAAAAGAATTGGTGTTATTTAACCGAAATTGTTGTGTAAACTTCCACTGTAAGCGTTGTAATAATTCAGTGACATGAATATTTCCTGAAGGGCCAAAAACTTCACTCGTTTTTGAAATTGCAAATTTACAGAGAAACGAAAAAACTAACTCTCGTGATAAAGATGATACCACGGTGCCTCCTTGACTTAATTGAGCCTCCCGGTACTGACGAGGAGCTAGTACTCTGAAATATGCTCCTATAATCGTAGTTACAGGAAAAAAAACGTCTGATGATTGGCGACTTCAATATGGACTATGAGGATGACGATTTCTTCTATACCAAAAAGGTCAAACATTTATTTAATATGTATGGAGTAGATCAAATTGTAAATACAAAGACACGGTGTAGGCAGCATAGCTCTACTCTTATAGATTATGTTGTAACAAATATTGACTCTAATCGAGCAATTGTTCATGATAATCCAAAACTAACTGACCACTCTATCATATCTGTAAATTTCTGTAATGCAAATATCACGTTAGGGGAAACATTCAAGCAAATTAGAAAAATGAACGTAGATACCTATCATAACATTAACATTGAGCTATTGTCCTGTAACTGAAATTTGAATTCAGTTAACGTTGATGTGATATTGGAGAATATAACAAAAAACTGTCTAGATATTGTTGATCAGGTAGCACCAGAACATACTGTTAAAATAAAATCAAGTCCCATACTATGATAGTGAATTGAAAATCAAAGCAAAGGAAAGAGATTTAGCTCATAAGAAATTCAAACAAAGTACAAACTTAAGTAAACATATAAATTGGGAAAATTATAAGAGAGTGAGAAATGACTATGTGAATATGTTAAAAGTAAAAATAGAGCGTTATTATGAACAGAAAATTGATGAAAATAAACATAATGCGAAAGAAATGTGGAAATATTTAAAATCACTTATAAATCCAATTGAAAGTTATAATTTTGAAAAGATAGTATTCAATGTCGGTGATCAAATAAAAGTTTGTAGCACAGAAATTGATATTGCAAATGCATTCAATGAATATTTTGAATTGTGATATCTGTCAACTTATTTCATATGTTACATTATTCGTCAGTATTTCATTTCAAGTTTAAAATTCAAATTTCAGTATTCANAACGAAAAACTGAATTGAAGCTAATTTATATTTAAAATATAATAATAACTAAGACTTTGTTTTGAATGAATATATAAGTAAATATGTAAACGTGTATCCTATATAGAATATGTGCGATATAGTTTTTTTTTCTTTTTTTTTGTGATTTTCTGTTATTTGGTTATAATAGACTAATTTATTTTGATGTTTATGTATTACATTTAGATAAAGTACATTAATTATGTTTATATTAGGCTTGCCTATCTGGAAATAAAGTTCTTCTTCTTCTTCTTTCTTCTTATGGTGTTACCACGACTATATCCACCTTTTCAATTTTAGGTTTATGAGAAGAAGGATGATCCAAGAGACGTTATGAGTATAACCAAATGGTTGAACTCCGAAGCATTAGAGACAGCAACAAAGGCTATCATTGCGCCACATCCTAATACGTATACTTATAGCAAAAGGCTGGCTGAAACTTTAGTTGCTGATGAAAAAGACAACATGCCTGTCTGTATAGTTCGCCCTTCAATAGGTGAGTACGGTCGCCATAAACGTGCTGGATTATTTTGTTATTCAGTCGATTTTCCAAAAACCAATACATAACTGGCGCAGTAGGTAGGATTCGTGAAAGAGAAGCATTTATTCACGAAGCAATAAAATATTATTTCATGACGGCAACACCACGATTAATCACCAAGGATCGAAAACTGGTTTACGCCCAAGGAATCTATCATATAGCGAAACACGTGTCGCGGTTTTAGTAAAACCCTTTTATAGTGAAAATCATAAACTGTATTAATCAGTTTTCAACTGAATTAACTAAGGTACAAATTCTGTCTGTCTGTTTGAAATCTGTTTTTCCGTTAACCAGCTGTCCAACCTTTACGAACGAGAAGTTGTGCGAGCTAAGGAATAACGAGGTCTTACTTTTTAAGGTGTGATTCCTAACATTAACAAAATAATGAAATATTGAACAAGAAATCACAAGTAGTGAGCAGTGAACATTAAATGTGTTAATAGGTATTGAAAACTGAAATATAAAAAATTATAAATAATTGAATGAGAAAACACAAGTAGAATAATCAATATCGACGAACAATCAAATGTGACATTTTCCTTATCTGATATAGAAAAATTTAGATGATTTTAGCTATATGAAAACCATATAAACCTGAATAACTGGGATATTCCATTCATTAACAGTGTTGAAAATATTTACGAGGGTGGTCCGATAAGTACCCGGCCCAACAAGGAAAACAATTTTTTTCTAAATGTATTTATTTTTCAACATAATCTCCTTGCAGCTCTTTGCATTTTTTCTGCGATGTTCAATAAGTCCGATACCGTTTTTATAATAAGAACTGTCTTCCTCCTCAAAATAGCCATTTACTACCCACATTCACTTCTCCATAGTTGGAAAATCTTTGACCACTGAGCTATTTTTTCAAGTTTCGGAACACAAAAAATTCAAGGCGGCTAAATCTGGCGAATAGGGTGAATTAGGTAGCAATTCAAACTTCAATTCGAAATAACTATCTACACAGTAGGGTGTGGTAAACGTCTGTCGAAAAACAACTACTTCCCCGGGTAATACCACGCTTGATATTGAATTATATCCGACAGGCATTTATGCAAGATTTCTCACAGAGGCTAGTCTCGTTCATCCAACAGCAGGACCATGGATTTGTGAACGGGGTTTTTGTGGCATTGATTTGAACCTGGTACTTTCACCTCAATTCAAAATCACTTCTATATCCTCATTAAGGTATGCAACCTCCTGCTGCCGGTGAAGATATGCCTCCGTAGCCGATATCCTGAAATCCAAATGGAAAGAAAATGGAAGAGAAGTGTGCTGTCGTCAGCAAAGCATTATATTGGATTCTTGTTTTTTCCAATAAGTCGTTGATATAGGTACAATAAAAAGAGGGTTGGAGACTTGCAGGTAACGTTCTTTCAGGAAGCTGAAGAGCCATACTCAAAAATGATCCGACAAGCCATAGCATCGAAGTTTGGCCAGCAAACCCTCATGCCACACATGGTGAAAGGCCTTAGAAATATCAAGCGCAACAGCTCTTGATTCTCTATACAGTGTGTAACAACGAAAACTTAACAGAGCCGTTTTTGAATATAAAAAGTAAGATTTTTAAAAAAAGCTCGGACATGTCGATTTTTAATTAAAGGGGGACACCTTTCAAACTAATCAGATTTTTTGTAGGACGCACCCCCTCGGAGGGGTGCGTCCGACGACCCTTATTTAGATAGGGAAAGTAGGTCGAGTGGCACCTTGTTTTAAAGGTCTTTCGAAAACCTTCACATCTCTGTCAAATGAAAATGTTTGTAACGATTAGTTTTCGAGATAATTCGAAGATTAAAAGGTATTTTTATTGAGTTCAACTCTTTTTAAAATAAATCAAATTGTTTTTACGGTACAATTTACGTTCAGAACTTTCAGAAAAAAAAATTTTGCTTTCTATGACAAACTGCTAATACGTGTCTATTCAATTTCGTAAAAAAGTAAGAATTATATGTTTATTACGAGGAGAATTTTCCGGGAGATGAAGTTGGTTACCACCCTTACATTTTAGGTAAATTAAGTGGCACCTCCTTATGAAGGTTGCCTTTTGACGTGGATATTTTATGCNTAGTTAAGGGCAGAAATTGGCTCTTGGAACAAACTGAAAAAAACAATATGGCCGGAAGGTTTCAAAGTTTGGCGACCCCTGCCTTTGACCATCAACAAAATGAAAAATTACTCATGAAAAAAGAAGTTTCCTTGAAAAACAGTTAAAAAATTCATTGTTATTTTAATTAAAAATAATAGCTGTAAACAGCTGATACGACACTATTATAGAAAATATATCAGGACAGCGGCAAATTATTCGAATTTATTGCTGTTCAATATGAATATTTCCGTCAACTGAATCTTCATAATTTAACATATTTTTTACATCATTTTACATTTTCCATATTTTTTTGTTTCAGGCAGGCGAGCGAAATCTTCTCTAAAATGTCGGAAGAAGGGAGTCCAGTAACCGAATGGTACAAGGGGAGATCGATTTTCATAACGGGTGGAAGCGGGTTCATGGGCAAAGTTATGGTGGAGAAGTTGCTTTACTCTTGTCCTGGCATCAAAAATATTTATCTTTTGCTTCGGAATAAACGGGGCAAATCGTCGCAACAACGATTGGATGCCATGTATCAGTTGCCGGTGAGTATGACATATGTGAGGTCACACAATAATCACACAAAAGAAAACCTGATTCATGGTAAGGTGACTATTCGAGAAATCCTATGAATCTAATCTAATGAAAACACTTTTTCCACATCAGAACTGAAACACTGCTCTCGACGTGCGTTTTGCCAATAAAGTTAGTATGACTGAACCTAGATGAACTAGTGAGTGAAAAGGGGAAAAACTTTCACTACTAAGAAGGGAGATAAACCCATTGAAACAAATTGTTTGTTGGATGCTGAAGGAAAACTTCTTGAGCAACTGATTCTCATTAGACTCAAGAAGGAAATTACACAACATGGTGGTTTACCGGAGCATCAGTTTGGACTCGTAGAGGAAAAACAAACTGTGGGTGCTTTAGAATATATGTTGAATCTCGCAAGGGAGGCAGGAGAATCATTCTCCTGGTCACACCAGAGATTATGCGTGATAATAACGCAAGTCATTAGAGATGTATTCAACAAAGCAAGTCGACAGGAAATCCTGTTGAATTTGAGGAGACATGTTAACGAGAGCCTCTTCAGTCTATTGAGGTCATATTTGTCAGAGAGAGAGATCATCATGGTTAGGTCAGGTCCAAAGTTAGTGGGTCTATTCGACCCTCCACCGCAACCCGCAAGGGTAGAGGGTAGAGGGTAGACCACACACTCGACCAAATAAACCCAGCTTCTTAACGAGTGGTCTTTCAGGTCAGATGGTAAAAGTACGGCTCTGCCGAACTCTAATAACCTGATTCGGTCCCCAGCGGGGCAGGCACAAAGTATGTGCTCTGCTGTTTCATCATTTTCCTAACAGAGGCGAATTATATTTCTCGTTCACACGTAGGTACTCGTAGTGTCCGTTTTCGACATTGAATGCGGTCTTAGGGATGTCCTCCTCTGCCATCTCTATTTGGTGAAATCCGCTTGCCAAATCCAGGGTAGTGAAATATTGACACCTTCCCAGTTTGTCGAGGATGTCAGAAATGTTCGGAATAGGGTAGCAGTCGTCTATTGTCTTCTCGTTGATTTTGCGGAAATCCACAACGATACGCCATTTTGCTTTTCCAGAGGCGTCCAGTTTTTTTGGAACGACCCAAATTGGTGAGGACCAGGGAGATTGGCTAGGTCTGATGATTCCTTGGTCCAATAACGAAGTTATTTGCTTCTTGACTTCTTTCTTGTGTACATATGATTTTGTGTAGACTGGAATTTCGTCTCTGGTTTTTATATGGTGTTTGACCTGATTGGTGAATGTGAGTGAGGAATCTGGATGGTGAAAAATATCAGCATATCTTCCGCATAATTTTCTGATATACATCTCCTCTTCTGGATTCAGGTGGTCTGTTCTGATTAGATCATCCATGTTGTTGATTGGGTCTCTGTTTCCTGATGGGATTATGTCAACTGAATAGATATGATGCTCATGAAGATTTATTGGGCTGCTGCGTACTGGTTCGGCTAGAACGATTTGGAGTTTATCTGGACTGAAGTTGACAATTTCCGTCCAGGCTAGATGATCACGGGCATCAGTGAGAGCTTCACGGATGTAAGCGCCTTGCAGTTTCTGTCTTGGTATCATGATAGTTCCATTCTTCTCCTTCACCGGTAGTCGTACTTGGGTCACACTGTCTGGCTCCAATTGAATAGAGTAGAACTGGGTCTTATTGGTTTCGTAGTACTGGATTGGGAGAGAGGAGTATTCGGTTAAAAGGGAGGATTCAGGAAAATTCAGTTCAGCTTTGAGAAATTTCAGGTTGTCGAGTCCAATGAGGCCATCAAAAGTTTTGTGGAA